GGGCGCGCCCAGCTGCTTTGGGCCGGGATCCCCGCGGGGCGATTGGCTCCGCCGGCGCGTCCTACCTGCGGGGAGGTGTGTCGCCGCCCCGCACTCTCCCGGCGCCCGGTCGCCCGGCTGCAGCCTGGGGGACAGAGAAAGTGCTGGCTGGGAGAACGGAGCGGACAACGGCGGTTCTGATGGGGGCTTGGAAAGCTTCTCTCTTCTCCCCCTTTCTCCTGCGGAGTCACAGTAGAGGGGTGAGGCTGATGTTCTTGCTGCTGACCCTGCATTTGGGCAACTGGTGAGTCAATGCGAGGGCTGAAAACTGTTCTTTGGTATCTACCCCCTTCCCTCTCGTTTCTCTCTCGTTCAAAACATCATTCTAAGTTAAGCGCTTTGCATCCCCAGGTACATGTGCAATGTGTTACCATCATTTTCTTTTCTGGTTAGGTCTGCCCATGTTAGACCCAGGAAATGATCCTCTGGGTGAAGCATGGAGGTTAGTCCAGCTGTTTTTGACTTGCAACACGGCCCGAACTCGCAAAGGCTCAGGTGCTGGGAGGGGGAGGAAGAGTAGAAATGATTTTGCCACTAAATCTAGGGAATAGATGTCATTCATGAACTTTCCAATGATTCTGCATTTTAAAGAAATAGTCATTTTAGACACTAACAAGTTTCAAAGCATGGTATGTACGGTGCTTTTCTATATACTAATGTTTCTGTTTTCCTACCTCTCCCCCCTTTTTGCTATTCAGGAAAAAAACCACTAACACCGAAGTTTTACATCAAGGAAAATCTTAAATATGGCTAAAAATCTATCAGGTTCATGTGTTATATTTATGTTAGAAATAACTATGTATATTTTATTAAGTCAGATTCCAATGATTTTTATTTTAATTGGCTTTCTGCACATAAATAAAAATTGTATAGTGATATAAAAGATGTCCTGGCTCTGTGTGTGTGTGTGAGTGTGTGTGTGTGTGGGGGGGGAACCTCCAATTTAATAGGTTTGCTTGGGTTGTAATACCTTTCAATAAAACTTTTAAATCATTCTGGAAAAAATTAAATTGCTCAGGTATTGCATCTTGCTATAGGAGTAGTTAATGAACAAAGTTAAAATACATTGGTTAGGACATAGACCCTATAAAGGTCCTGGACATGCTACTCATATCATGTGACTGTGTTTTATATAAATGTACATTTAACATTATATTAGTGCAAGATGTGATCCTGCCTAGAGCTCAGGAGTAAAAGGCAGTTGCTAGGCAGTGAAAACATGCCTTTATAACTACTTGCATCATTGTTAAAATTAATTATGATGATGATTAATTTTAGTGTATATCAAGAGTGAATATTTTTGTCGATACCAGCAGGTAGAACAACTATATTTTCTCTCTGAAAATAGAGAATGGATTGAAGTGTGCTAAGTAATACTAGGCATGTCAGAAAATGTTGACACTCAATGCTTTTTTAAGTATGATAGTTTTAGTTTAGTTTACCCTTTTTCTTTAGAAACTTAAATATTCTGCATGGACACAAACACACTAGTTGATCAGTTATTCCTTATATATAAGTTGTCTCATAGTGGCTTATTTCTTTGAATATATTATGGAAAAATATAGAAGAGATTTTGATAAAATATATATTGGTGCTCTTAGGCATCTTTATAATATTACAAATGAATCTGTGTTCTCATAAATAAAAGCAGATTTAGCCAGTGTTTCCTGAAATAACAACCTGTATGCTCCTTTATCATTCATTATAAGTGAAAATTCCCTTTGCAACCTAAAAGACAAACTGCTTACTAAAGGGCATAAAGAGATATTTTGTTTTAAACAGTATCTTTTGTTCTTCATAATACTTACATCATGATCATCATAATTGCTCAGGAATTCTCTTCAAGCTGCTCAGAATTTTAAAGTTGTGTGTTGTCAAAAAGTTGTGTATTGGATTGGACAGGTGGGTTCTAGCAGCCTGGGGACATGATTTTATGTGTCAAGAGTCCTTAACCTCTGAAGGGTTTCTTCATCCAGGAAATGAAGGGCAGTAGTAGATCATTTATGACTGTTTCAACTTTTCACATGCAGTGGGTCCAAGATTTGGAACTGAAACATAAAGTAACTCAATAGTTGTTTCACTGGTTTCCTTAGTACTTTCTTTTCAAGAGGGAAGTTTGAATTGGTACTTCCATGTGCTTTTTACACCATATGTATGAGTGAGTGAGACAGAGGTGTTACGTAGTTCAAACAGATACATAATTCAGTTTATCCTAGCACTATGGATAATCTGGATCATTGTAGCCAGAGGGTGAATATTTAAAAAATAAAGCTATATTTTGCTGTTATAATGAACTCTGAGGGCCTGGATTGTGAGATTTTTTGTTTACTTTTTTACAATAGTTACAGTGTGGTGAACTTTTCCTCTTCGTAATATTGAGTTGGAGATAATTGATGTCAACATATATTGACCATTTTTATTTATATTTTCCCTCCCTTTCTTCTTCTTTAGAGGAACCTTTTCAAAACTAACCATAGACTGTTCGGTTTATAAGAATTTTGGCATCTTATGCAGATTTCTAATATAAATCATCGAAGTCATCTATTTTGAGATTTACCAAATGGAGGCTATCATTTCTTATATCTCAGCAGAGACAAGAGCTTGTTTCCTCATTAGTTTCTATCAAGAGCGCAAAGGAGAGACAGTATATTGATTTTTATGTTGCTGAACTATGAAAACCTGCCTCATTGTTGCAACTGAAGCCACAGTCATGGCTCCAGTGTTTCATTCTCCACAGCGCTCTATGGAATTGTAACAAGTTGCTTCAAATCTCTTAAGTTTGATTTCACTTATTTGTAATGGAAAAGAATCTCATTATAATCAGGTGTTTAAAAAGAGTTGAAGAGTGTTTTGATATTTCAGCTGTTCTAAAAAGTAATTTATGATAAGCTTTGACTAAGAAGTTATAATTTGAGAGAGCTCAAGAAAAATAACTTGTTTTGATTTTGTAAAACAATTTTATGAATCAATAATATACAATTTAGCATTCAGTTGCCCAAATAAAAATATTCAAATACAGTTGCTTTATAAAGCATGTAATTTCAGTATTTTATTTTGTGAATGAATTACTTTTTTTTAGTCACCTAGATTTTTGCTTAATTTTCTGATACCAATGATTACCATGCAAACTTGAGGGCAAAAATAACTAAGTATGATGGTCTATGATAATTACATTTTCTAAAGACCGAGAGAAAAGGATTTTGAAGCTGAAATTCAAGTGCTATAATAGATAAATCCTCTGTGTATAGAGTCTTTTTAGGTATTCCCTTATTTCATTACATATTCTTAGATACACTTTTGACTAAGCAATGAAAGGAAACATTTGACCTTTCATTCAAACATTAAGTAGACTAATTTAATATTGTATATTTATATATACAGGTGGTTTAAATTTGTCTAAAAATATAATAGTAAAGGTGAAGTCCCTAAGGGGAAGATAAATAACAGGGTGGAAAACTGAAAAAAAATGACCAAAGATATTATCTAAATATGATAAATCACTGCCATGGGCTAAGGCGGAGATGTGGGCATAAATTGAATGTATTGGCTCAGGAGAAACATTCACATATGTGCATGGTACCAGCAGAGAACCCTAGACTTTCCAATCAGATGTAAATTCTGGTTTCAGCTCTGCCATTTCCCACCAGGGTGATTTCAGGCAAATCTTTGAGGCAGAGAGTCCTCATCTGTAAAAAAATAAAAGTGACATCTACCTTTCCAGATTGTTTCAAGATCAAGATAAAACATGTGTGGAAAGAATATAGCACTTAAAATGAAGACATAATAGCAGAAACTCTGTGGAATCACATTGATTCTAGTACTATTTATCCTAGTTACAGTGATTTTAAGTACAATAAAGTGAAGTCCTTGGATTCTTGTGCATTGATATCTTTTGGACTTGAGATAGATCATTCATTTTTTACAACAAATATTTATTAAATGCCTGAAGCATGCTAGGTTTACATTGGTGAATGGACTAGACATGAGCTCTGTATATATATGGAGCTTATACTCACGGCAAAAACCTAGATTTGTGGTATTAATAAAAAGAAAACATCTTGTAGTCAAAATAAAAATATGTGCCTTTAAAACTTCAAAGATAAACAGAAAAGTCTCAACTTTTAAGGATGGGACAGATCACAATTAAGAAAAGATAATTAGAGAGTCATGAGATTTCTTGCAGCAATAACAGAGGACTATGAGGGAATTGTCTCCAAAATTCTGAAGACAAATGTTCAACCTAGAAGGTTATACTTAGCAAAGTTACACATCAAATATGAAGGAAGAACAAAGCCTAGATACTGTTGTTATTCTTCCCATTTTACAGATGGGAAAACTGGGGCACAGCAATTTTTAGCAATTTCCTAAAGATCATCTTGCTGATAAGTGCTGAATTCAAGACTCAAATCCATGTATTCTATGCCCAGAGTATGTGGTCCAAACCACCACACTTCTCAGGTTACAAATGCTGTATAAGTCAAACAAAAAAATCTGACTGTGGATGAAGGAAACAAAGAGGAAGGGAGAGAAGGCAGAAGGGAATGGGAAGGTAGGATAGTGCAACTGGTAGAAGCACAGTAAGGATACTGGGTGCTTATCACATAATCTGAAATCTTATGTGTACCTATCATATAATCTGAGATTTTATGTACAGCACTAAATTGATTATTAGGGTAAAAACTAACAAACTGGAGTAACTGACCTATACAAAATCATAAGATGAAGGGTTAAACGCAAGAATTTTGGAATTTAGGTAAGTTTCGTTGCAGAATCTGATGGCTGCTTGTGTTTAAGGATGCTCTGTGAAATCACAGTTGAATTTCTTTCATCTCTGTGGAAGAGACGAACCATCACCAAGTAGTGAAAACTATGTGAAGGGATTTTTCTTTTAAATCAAATGCTCTGTAACAAAATCAAGGCTTATTCAAGCAAAAACTTGATAGAGCTCTTGTACTCTGTGGGAGGCAAATGACAATATATGGTACTTTTCTACTTTTGAATATTTCAGAACCTAATTCTATCAGTACTCAAATAGTTTAACCAACTGGAGCCTCATGTTTCAGGTAATACTCTTAAGCTGTTCGTTCGCTCAGTAAATATTTATTGAGCATTAGCATTCGTTTAGTGCCTACTATGTGTTAAGTAGAGTCCTGGGACCTTGAACCTAATCCTGGGCCTTATAGTGTTTGTGCAAAGTATATAGAACATATATAGGATCGTATATATGCTAGATGCATGGGACAA